AACACTCATGCAGAAAGAAACAAACAAAGAGATGAACACTTAAGTTATATTTATAATACAAAAAATCTTTTATTTGAAAATTCATATATCTGGTTAATTGCTGATGCTAAAGAAACAAATGATAGAACAAAAGAATCAGAATATGCTAAAAAATTTTATGAAGATTCTATTGGTACTTCAGTATTTGGATTAGCAGCATACACGTATGGTAAAGTTTTAATCGAAGATGAAGACATGAGAGATGAAGCAAAAAAAAAGTTTGAAACATCGTTTTTCCAAGGCGGATATATCGAAGCTTCCAAAAAACTCAAAGAATATTTTAATGATGATATCAACATTTTTTATAAAGAAAAATATGATAAAAAAGATATTGAAGGAATTGAATGTTTTTATTATGCTTCCGTATTACTTTCTGAATCAAATATTAGTAAAAATAATGCAGATTATATTATGGATATTTTATTCTTTGGATTGAGTAAAGAAGATAATAATTGTCTTTCTTTATTATATACCATGTTAAAAGAAAACATGGGTACAAAACATAAAGAAAAGAAAGAATCTGTTAAAGAATTATATAATTTGAAATTTTCAAATTATGGAATTAAATATGAATCTATAAATAAAAAACTATTGAAAAAAATTGAAGTTGAGAAAAAATTTAATCCCGAAGATAAAATGAAAAGTAAAGATTTATCTCAACTTAATGTGATTTATAAAAATAACAAAGCATCAAAGAGCAATTCATCTATTATCGATGTTGGTGATGATGATTATCAAATTACTGGTTACCAAATTTAATTTTATATTATTATTTTATGTTTATTTTTATATCTATGTTTATTTTATTTTACAATATATTAAGCTGATATTTATATTATTAAATAAAATTATATTATCTTAAATAAAAATATATTTTTTTTATCAATATTTAAATTATATTGTTAATTGAATAAATTAATCATCAAGCATTTTTGATTATTTTCTAAGCATTTTTGTTTTAGGTATAAATTACAAATAATCGAAAGATATTACAAACTTATTAAAAAATATATTGAAGATATACATAGTGAATGTATTTTACATAAACTCTTAAAAAACTTAAAATACAAAAGATGTTTAAAAATTCTGATGAATATATATATTTAATTTTAATAATTCGATTACAAATACAAAATAATTATTTTATTTTTTATATTATAAAAACATTACAATATTTATTTAATTAAAAATATACAATAAAAATTCCAAAAGGTCGTAAAGGATTATTTATGACCTTTGCCTGGTTGCTTACATTCATCACAACTATTATTCATAATAATTATTAGTAAAATTAATAACAAAATTTATAATTAATTATTAATATTACCATTTAGTATTTTTTTGAGAATATTTAGAAAAATAATTTTTTTTAGGAATATCTTTTTTTTCCTTTTGGTTATATGCTTCCACAGATAAAAATGTTACACAAATAAATAATAACAAAAAACTTAATGATTTGATAAATAACATTTTTATAATAAATTTATAATAAAATTTAAAATATAATTATTTTAAAATAAAAAAAAATAAAAAGTGGAAATATTAGGCTTTATATTTATAACCAATTTTACATATAAGTATATGATTTAAATTTAGTTTTTATTTAACAAATTGTTATATAAATTATTTTTCAATAAATTTATCATCAAAGTCTTTCAAATAAGTAATATATTCTACTATTTTGTTAACAAGATTATCTGTTTTACAAGTTAAAATTCTAATATTATTCGCTTCTTGTTTTGCATTATTTGTGTTATTCTGATTCCACACTTTCCTTTTTAATCTAAAATTACAATGAATCAAAATTCTAAATTCTTCAAAAGTAAAATTCAAATCCTTATCTTTATCGGATAAGATTATTTATCATGTTTAACATTAACACCAAGTTCTTTCATTAATTTTAAAATATCAGATGTGTAATTTAAACAAACATCGATTTTTTCAATTTCCTAAAAATAGAATTTTGAGTAAATGACATCATGTTACAAAAAAAAAATAATTGGTACATCATTTCTATTTAAACATTTTATTTTCACAAGTGATTTATGTTGTGTTAATGATATTTTAGTATTTACCTTATTTTCATTATTATCAATCACAGTTGTGGTACTTTCATATGATTCAATAACTTTTTTAAGACTCATTTTTTAATTTAATAAAATAAAAAATGTTATATATTTATACATTCAATAATTAATAATATAATATAATACAATATAAATAAATAAATATAAATACAATAAATTAATAATACAATTAATAAGCAAGAAATTCTTCGTTATACTTTTCCAAATCGCTCCAACACCAAAGATATTTTATTCCAAATATTTCAACATATTCATTGACTTTTTGTAAATAACTATCTATTAAAATAACATTTCTTTCATTAACATCATATAATAGATCTATTGTATCATTTAAAT